GCAGGACTTTGATAGTCGGAGATCAAGCCCAGTGTGGGAAGAGCAAACACAATGTGACTGTGAGGGAGGTCCCAGCATCTGTGGCAGTGGCAGCAAGAACAGGCAGCCTGAGAGCAAGCCGAAGTGGAGTAGATCAAGCTCTTGTAGGGAGTGTGAGGCCAATGTGGCTAAGCATTTAAAACAGGCTGTTGAACTTTTAACTTTATTTCTTTATTCTTCTACTTTATGCCAAAGATTTTGTACCTAGGTATCTTTATACCGAAGATGGTGTTGGGAATGGTGACATTATACACTTTTCACTGTACTCCTGCATCCCTGTACTTGAGTACACATGACAATAAACTTAATTCTAATTCTAATGACTGTGAATCCATTGTCAATTGTCAGGAAAAACCCATCTGGGTCATTAATGCCCTTTAGGGAAGGAAACTGCCATCCTTACCTGGTCTGACCTATATGTGACTCCAAACCCACAGCAATGTGGTTGACTCTCAACTGCCCTCTGGGTAATTAGGGGTTAGCAATAAATGCTGCCCCAGCCAGCAACACCCTCATCCTGTGAATGAATACAAATTAATAGATGAGGTTCGATACAGAGAAGCCTGAAGTGATGCACTTTGGTTGGAAGAACATTGAAAGACAATAAAAAGTAAGGGCTAGAATTCTACAGGAGGTGCAGGAGCAGAGGGAGCTGGGGGTGTATGTGCCCAGATCACTGAAGGTGGCAGGCCGGGTGAAGAAAGCAGACAGTACCCTGGGCTTTATTAACAGGGGCACGGAGTACAAGAGCAGGGAGATGATGTTGAACTTGTACAAGACACTTGTTAGACCCTCAGCTGGAGTATAGTGTACAGCTGTGGGCACCACTTTATAGGAAAGATGTATTGGAGAGGGTGTAGAAATGATTTACAAGAATAGTTTCAGGAACGAGAATAAAACAAAGAACAGTGGATGCTGGAAATCTGAAATAAAAACAGAAAGCGCAGGAGAAAGTCAGCAGGTCTGGCAGCATCTGTGGGGGAGAAAGTCAGAGTTAATGTTTCGAGTCCAGTGACCCTTCATCAGAAGTGATAGTAGCTGGGAAAAAGTGGCATTGGGCAGGGGCTGGTGGGAAAGAAGAGGTCAGTAGAGAGGTGGGTCCCAGAGACATATGAAAGGGGTAGGCAGACAAGGGGATTATAGACAGTAAGCCAGGACAGAAGAGAGGCTGAATAAGTGACAATGAGAGCTGAGGCTACAAGGGAATGGATTGGCTGTGATAAAACCAACCCATGTCATGACAGGACCAGTGTGTTGGGGTGGATTGAAAAATGGGAGGACAGAGTCAGGCTCTAAAATTATTGAACTCCATGTTGAGTCCTGAAGGCTGCAGCAGTGTTCCAAAATGAGGTTCCATTCTTCCAGCTTGTGCTGAACTTTGCTGGAGCACTACAGCAAACCTGAGACAGAGATGTTGGCCAGGGAATGTGATGGGGTGTGGAAGTGGCAGGCAACTGGAAGCTCAGCATCATTTTTGTAGACAGAACATAAGTGTTCTACAAAGCAATCACCCACTCTGTGTTTCGTCTCTCAAATACAGAGGAGACCACATTGTGAGTAGCAAATGCAGTGGGCTAGATTGTGGGAAGTGCAGGTAAAGAACTGTTTCACCTGGAAGGTTTATTTGGGCCCACGGATACTGGGGAGGGAGGAGGTAAATGGGTAGGTGTTACACCTTCAGCGGTTACAGGGGAAGGTGCCGTGGGAATGTGGGACGGTGTTGGGAGTGAAGGAAGAGTGGACCAGGGTGTCCCAAAGGGAATGGCCCTTGCAGAAGGCAGACAAGGGAGGGGAGGGGAATATGTGTCTGGTGGTGGCATCTCGCTGGATGTGGCAGAAACATTGGCTAATGATCCTCTGGATGTGGATGCTGGTGGGATGGTAGATAAGGACAAGGGGGACCCAATGCTGTTGTGAGTGGGAAGAGAGGGTGTGATGGTGGGAGTGCAGGAGATGGGTCGCACCCAGTTGAGGGCCCTGTTGATGATGGTGCTGGGGAATCCTCAGTTGAGGAAGAAGGTGGACACTTTGGAGGTTCCCTTGTCAAAGTTGACATCATCAGGACAGATGTGGCAGAGACGGAGGGATTGAGAGAACGGAATGGAATCTTTACAGGAAGCAGAGTGTGAGGATATATAGTCAAGACTGCAGCCCAATGGTATCAATGTGGATTTCACCTGCTTCAAAATCTCCCCTCCCACTACCGCATCCCAAAACCAGTCCAGCTCTTGCCCGCTTCCCTAACCTGTTCTTCCTCCCACCTAACCCCTCCGCCCACCTCAAGCCGCCCCCCCATTTCCTACCTACTAACCTCATCCCGCCCCCTTGACCTGTCCGTCCTCCCTGGACTGACCTATCCCCTCCTTAACTCCCCACCTACACTCACCTTTACTGGCTCCATCCCCGCCTGTTCGACCTGTTTGTTTCCTCTCCACCTATCCTCTCCTCTATCCATCTTCTATCCGCCTCCCACTCTCTCCCTATTTATTTCAGAACCCCCTTCCCCTCCCCATTTTCTGATGAAGGGTCTAGGCCCGAAACGTCAGCCTCTCTGCTCCTATGATGCTGCTTGGCCGGCTGTGTTCATTCAGCCCTGCACCTTGTTGTCTCGGATTCTCCAGCAACTGCAGTTCCTACTATCTCTGATTCAATACTAACTGTGAGAGTTGGTGGGTTTGTAGTGGATATTGGTGGCCAGTCTACCCCCAGAAATGAAATAGAGATGTTGTGAAAGGAAAGGGATTATTCAGAGATGGACCAGGTGAAGGTGAGAGCGGGGTGGAATATTGAAGCAAAATTGATAAGTTTTTCCAATTTTGAAAAAGAGAGGGGCGCATTAATTAATATACTGGAGAAAGAGTTGTGGGTGGGGGCCGGAATAGGACAGGAATGAGGAATGTTCCACGTACCCACAAAGAGACAGGAGTAACTGGGGCCCATGTGGGTACCCATGGCCAACCTTCTGACCTGAGGAAAGTGAGGGGAGTTGAAAGAGAAGTTGTTCAGTGTGAGGATGAGCTTGGCCAAATGGAGGAGGGTGGTGCTGGATGGGACGGTTCAGGCCTTTTTTCTCGGAAGAAGTGAAGAGCCCTGAGATCATCTGATTGGGCATAGATGTATAAAGGGATTGCACGTCCATGGTCAAGAGGAGGTGGCTGGAGCCCACAAACTGGAAATTCTGAAACTGAAATAAAGCGCCAGAGGAATTATGGAAGTAAGTTGGAAGGGACTGGACAAGGGGAGAAAAAAAACTGAGTCGAGGTAGGATGAGATGAATTCTGTGGGACAGGAACAGGAAGAAACAATGGGTCTGCCTGGGCAGTCCTGTTTGTGGGTTTTGGGAAGGAGGTAGAAGTGAGCTGTGCAGGTTTGAGAGACTATGAGCTTGGAGGCAGGAGGGTGAGAGGGTGTGAGATTACCAGATGAGATGAGGTTAGTGACCGTTGTGCATATTGTCGCCTGATGTTCCATCGTGGGGTCATGGTCCAGGGGGAGATAAGAGGAAGTATCTGAGAGCTGGTGCTCAGCCTCTGCAATGTCGAGGTCAGTGCGCCAGACAACAGCATCAACCTTATCAGCAGGGTTAATTACAAAGTGAGTGTTGGATCTGATAACACGGAGTGCAGTCAGTTCACAGTGAGGTAGGTTAGAATGGGAGAGGGGGGTCAGAGAAATTGAAGCGACCAATGTCACATCAACAGTTCTTGATGAACAGGTTGAGTGTAAGTAAACAGCCAGAGGGAGGGGTCCAGGTGGAGGGAGAGTGTTGGAGGTGGGCAGAGGGCTCTGTGGGATGAGAAATGGGCCCAAAGGCAAAGGCAATGGACGAAGAGTTCAACGTCATGAGGTACCTGAAATTTGTTAAGGCGGGTACTTGGATAAAGCTGAGACTTTGCTGAGTACATAACGTTGGGCATTGGAGAGCAGGAGGTCAGGATGGATGGTAAATACACAACAGAAGGTGGGGTTTGGGAGGGATGGAGTCAGAGGGAAGGGGAGAGGAAGGTTCTGGAGAGCCATGGGTATTTCTGAGTTGTTGCAGCCTGTTCACTCAGTGAGTAGGTTACGATCAGCAATGCACTGCCTGGAAATGTGATGGAGGAGGGTTCAAGAGGGGGCATTGAATGGTAATTTGGATCAAAATTGTGTTCTTTTCACCTTACAACATCATCACTCAGGTGGAACTTGGGGCACTTTTTCCAATTAATCCTTTCGGAGCTATTATCTTATACATGACTGTCCAGTCAACCTGTCCCTCAGCTGCCATTCTCCAGCCCCATTCTCCAACCCTTCCTTTTGCCTATTCTTTCTGTTTGGCCAAACATCCAGGAGTTAAGGATTAATCTCTCAATTCCATCACGTTCAGCACCAGAAATAAATCATTAGATATTAAAATCATTTTTTTTCATTGGCTTTCCACATTTTCAATTGTTAATTATGAAAATATCAGAGATAGGAGAGATGCCTCTGGATTGATTGGGAAATTTTTAAAGAGACCTGGTGCTCGAGTTGTTGCTGCCAGCAGGAGGCAGTGTTGTTTACCTAACCATTTAACGCAGCTCAATGCCGCCCCCTGCAGCTCCTCATTGCTTCTGCAAGGAATTGGCCACTATTTGAAAACATCTTTGGTATTTTGTGAGGACACATTGACAGCGTTGTTGATGAAGTGTGTCATCATGCAGCAGGTTGGATGAAACAAATAGATTTAGACAACAATCGAGCAGGTTCGTGGTCGTCACAGAGACTTGCGTTTTATTCCAGGTTTAATTGACTCCTGTGTCATTCACAATAAACCCAAACTCCTCAGTTAGATTCCAATCTGTAATTCAGTCCCGGGAATCTGTACATAAACCCCCTGAACCCCTCCATTAGATTCTAGTTCCTCTGTCTTCTGTGTATCCGTTATTTCAGATTTGTTTATGTTGGTTGGAACATGTTGAAAGACTGATCGTGGAGACTGTGCTTTGTGGGGGATGTGTGTAGTAGCTTTCTGTCTCTGAGTTAAGGTGTTTTAGTGCCGAGTTTGCGGTCTGAACTCAGCCTTGTTGCTGCTGCTCTATTTCCTGTTCAATACCCGCGGCTCCATCAGCAGCTCTCAAACCTGCAAACACATCGTAAACTCCACTGAGGGCAAGTTGCAGATTGATTCACACTGAGACTTCAGTTAATCTTCTGCTGTCACCAACACCTCAACCTCTTTCTGGAAGTTTCGAGAATAAACAAGCAGCGGCGATCGCACCGGGATTAAGCAGTCTCCGCCTCAGTCTCCCTGACCATGAAGACGCTGGCACAATGCTCCATCACCGTTTTAACTGCGGCCATTCTGCTACGTGGGAGTTCAGCTCATGGTCAGTACAAACTTTGAAGAAATATTTATGGAGACTCGCATTTATTTTTGATGAATCTTGCACATGGTCTACAAAACAGTTTCACCAGCAGGTCAAAAGATTGACCCCACGCCCAGCACTTGATCCCATAATCCCAGTTTGACAGCTCATTGCAGCGCTGAGGGAGCGCCGCACTGTCAGAGGGTCAGTGCTGAGGGAGCGCCGCACTGTCGGAGGGTCAGTGCTGAGGGAGCGCCGCACTGTCGGAGGGTCAGTACTGAGGGAG